CATGGGCTACATACATTTGCGTGAGGTTACTTGGAGAAGTTAAGACTTTCTTGGCATTCATGAGCCTCATAAATATCTCTAGCATATACGAATAGTTATAAAATCCAAATAATTTACTTAATCCTTCATTCGGGACATAATGCGCTTAATAAAAGCCATTAACTTAAGGCATCCAGATCATTGGACGGCATTCATTTTGACCCATTAGAAGATATTTATAATCATGGATTTACACACAATAAATATATACGATTCCCTTAGGTATCATTTTCAAATCCCTTTGACAATGCCATAACCACCTAGTGCTATTTTGTCCCGCGTTTAATCCTCTGCAGGTGATATGTTAGTTTAGTGCATTTTGTTTTAATACACAAATTTTTTGAAAGAACAGGTAACGGCAATGTTTTTACTATCATATGGGCTGATATTTATCATTGTTTACTGGATCAACCTGTAACTTGATCTTCTTAGTATAGGCCAATGAGACTACATGGCTTGATCATTATTATTCTTTATTTCACGTATATGCATTAAGTTGCCTTTATTTTAACCATATTTTGAATTTTATTAGCACTTTCTTTGGGATTCTAATCAGGGGTATTGAACCCATACTAAATGTATCACTACTGCTACAGCAATACAATCTAGTTCGTTCTCAATTTCTTTATTTATACCCACAGCAAAGTCATCTGTGTCTGAACTATTCTGATATTTTTTTATAATTGTTTTCCACATTCAAAATTATAGCAACTAACTAACAATTTAAAAATTTTATGTCAGGAGACTTAATTTAATTTATTTTTATTGATTTCGGCATTGGCCCTCACCTATTTTATCGATTTTTCATCCATAGACGACACTTGATAGCATACTTGAGGACCTCATAGCTGCTATGGACAACAAAAGTCCATCAGTAAGATCGGAGACGATTCTTTTTCTTGCTCGTTACTTCTTGAACTGCACTCCAGCTATTTTAAACAAAAAGCTCCTCAAATCTCTTTCGACATCTCTTACAAAGACCTCTAATGATAATGTGCCAGAAGTTCGTGAAGCGAGTTTTACTGCATTAGGTAATGCAATGTTTATTGTTTCGGAGAAAGTAATTTCTCCATTTCTCAGCGAACTTGATGGAATCCGTATGGCAAGAATCAAAGAATTTTGCGAGAAAGCCACCTTGACAAAAGCAGGTGAAGCTGATATTCATGGACCTATATTGGGGTTTGCTGGCCCTGGTGAGTTTTTTATGTTCCATTTTATTTCAATACCTTAATCCAATATACTCGTTCATATTAATGGGACTTTCTGAACTCCTTTTAATTATTACTCAAAGTAAATTAGATAGTATATACGTAGAGAAGCGGAGTTTCGGAGAATCGCTCACTAGCTTGATGCTAGCGT